GGCATACAGGCAAATAATGTGTAAATTTTCATCTGCTACATACATATCCGTAAATCCTGCATAAATTTGCAAATTTTTCAATGGCGATGGCCTAAACACACATTCTGCCATATAATTGCTCGCGGCTCCAAACTCATGAGCGGCTGTATTTCTTATTTTTTGGTTCTTGCACATTGTGTGTTTGATTATGTTCGATATCAATGGTCAGTTCATACCCATCTGTCCTCTTGTCTGCATACAACAGTGGTATTTGTTCTGGGAGAGGGTACCGTAGTGTTTTGTGTAGGATAGGAACAGCGGTGTCCCCCTTAGAACAGTCATGGCATCCGCCTCCAAGAACAGTTGCGTAATCCACATCTCGGAACAGCCACAGGGCCCACTTTCCGGAACAGTAGTTGGATTGGATAGCAACATAAACCTATCAAATTCAGCCCCCCGCATACGAGTGGGGGCTGACTTTGATAGGTTTATGTTCTATTTATGCTAGGAGCATTCTTTGAAAATTTTAGTCTCTCAGCTTTGCTTGTTCCTGACTTAGCCATTTTCCCACCAAAAAATTCCATGGGTCGCACGTGAGAACCGCGCATGCCTGGGGGCTGAATTTGAGAGCTTTGAGTTATATATGGACGGGGAACATAACCTCAGTACCTTCTATCGTTTCTTTTTGCCGACTTATAAATTTTCCCGCCAAAATTTTCACACCCCCGTACACGGGGCCCAGACGTGTGTGGGGGGTGGTACCGCGGTTTTGGAGTGGTACTTGGCCGGGATACCCACCTAGCAAAATCTTGGCACTGGAACTTGCTTAGCTGCCGAGTTAAAATACTCGGACAGGCGAACACACGCGCACACACATGCATACATGCACACATACGTGTAGTTGTTTGGATACAGTAGCTGCGGAAATGAGTCCTAAAGTGAACTAAGAGGCGGTGCATAGCGATAGAGAAGCTTCGGAGGGATGATTTGTTTGCTGCTGCTGTGAATCTATATCCGTAGGAGTTCTCATGAAGCTTCGGAACAGCGTAAATGAAGGAAATGGATGTATCATCGTTGGTAGTGTGAAGCTCAGATTCACTTAGAATTTTATGGTGGTCGGTTGAACGGAAAACGACAGCAGTCCTGCCCAGCTGCACGGTTCCTAAAAAGTTTTGTGCCTTTGGTCGGGCGCATTCCTTCATTTTACAGTCAGCTAAAACCAGTATTAGATTTAACTGAGCCATTTCATCCGCCAGACCGCCCACAGGTGATTTAGCTGAACCACCGGGTGGTCACAACTTAAAAAGGCTATTCCTTATTGATGTACATGGACGGATATGCAGAATTACTGGAACTGATGATAACATTCACTATTGCACACACGCCTGCGGTGGCAATTGTATGTGCTGCCGCATGATTCTTTCGGACGGGTTGGTAAAATCCTGCGTCACATGCTCCCGTTTTGTGCTCTATGTAACTCCAATGATTTACTCAATTACAAAAGGACTGGTATAATTTATGTAATTACCTGTAGGGTCTGTGGCATGCAATACGTAGGGCAAACCAAACGAACTCTACAAACGCGAGCAAGGGAGCACAGATATAATGTTGTCCGTAAAACAAATACAGTCCTTTACAATCACTACCAATTACCTGGGCACGGACCAGAGTCCATGGGCATTGAAATTGTCGAATGTGTTGACAGTAGTATCACTACCTTATTTCAGCGAGAGCACTTCTGGATACAGGCCCTTAACACGGTCTATCCTTTTGGACTTAACGATTGTATCATGGCTTACGGGAACATTTCAGATGGACTGTTTCCATTCACTATCGGTAAAAACCCCTACTTCCAAGTACCGCTGCTTTGGAAGCGCAGAAGGCACGGTAGGCGTATTCGTAGAAATAAAATAGTTGACCAGGAAGCTATCGACCTCGCGCTTACTTGTGACATTGATACCCCTCAACCAATTCGACAATTACTTAATAGGCTTTATAGTTCCAACAACAGAACTCTTAGGATGCTTCGACAACGTGTTTCCACTGAGGTACTGCCATTTGCAAAAGCCTGTGTTCTTCAAGGATTCTTGCTTTTCCGCCTTAAAACTTCTGCACGTCCTAGTCGTGACGATATTTCCT